TAATTTTTTTAAAGAAAATTTAATTACCGTTAATTAAAATTATTGTAAAAGTCATTGACTTTGACTCTCTCTCTCTCTCTCTCTCTCTCTCTCTTTCTCTCTCTCTCTCTCTCTCTCTCTCTYTCTCTCTCTCTCTCTCTCTCTCTCTCTCGAAACAAAAAAACAAATTTCAATAAATTAAATACTTATAAATTTTCGGTAAATTAAAACATCTATCAATAGCATCTTATAACTGGCTTATAAATAATATGATTATTATTATAATTATTATTAAATAATTATTGCTGATTAAATTGTTTAATAATTTTTGAAAAAATATCATAAATAGATTATTACACCCGGGGTAATCGATTATAAATAAATAATTAAAAAAAATTATACAAATACAATTTGGTTTGTCATTATTAATTAAGTTTTTTTTATAAATTTAATTGTTATTTAATAAATAAAGAAACATTTTTTTTTTAATTTCAATTACTGTACTTAAAAATTATTGTAAAAGTTTTGTTAATTAATTGAATTGATTATATTTTGAATACATTAGTAGTAAATAAATGTTTAAATAAAAAAAAAATTTTAAATAAATTAATGCATTTAAAAATCTATTTTTTTAATACTATTATTATTATTGATTTCAATTTATTTGTGAAAAATAAGTATTCGTAGTGTTGTTGTTGTGTTTGACATTACAATTAAATTATATTGTATTTACTTTTATTGACATTTTATATATAAATTATACACATATTTATAATCAATGTTTTTAGTTAATGTAAATTTGATTTTATTGTAAAAGCAAATAAATATATAAATAATAATTTTTTTAAATAAATTATTTAACGTTAAAATTTAATTTATTAAAAAAAATAATTACAATATAAATCAATTTAAAATATAATAATTAAAAATATTGAAAAAATATGATAAATATAATTATGTCTAAAAATACTGTATTAAAATTAATATTTAAAAAAATAATTAAATTTAATTAAATACTTACTTAATAATTAATAAATAGATAAATTATCAAGTTTTATAATTGAATTATGTTTAGTTAATAAATATTTATTTTTTTTAGAAAATTTAATTACCTGTACTTAAAATTATGTAAAAGTCATTGACTTTCTCTCTCTCTCTATTGAATCAACAAAAAAAACAAATTTCAATAAATTAAATACTTATAAATTTACGGTAAATTAAAACGCGGAAAATAGCATCTTATAACTGGCTTATAGATAATCTCATTATTATTATTGACATTATTATCACAATTAATATATTTTCCGCATTTAATAACATGTAAACCATTATAATCTTCGCATTTAATAAACAAATGTTTAATTTTAGTGCCAATCAGTAAATGCTGTGAAATGAATGATTCGTTTGTTATAATAGTGTTGTCTCGGAGGTCGACATCCATCAGGTAAGGTAACTGTCCCATAGCTACTACTGACTCCTTATTGATGTCCACTTTGTCGCAGCGTATAGACTGTAGTCGCGGAAGATTGCGATGAATGTTAGCGAAAAACTGGTCACTAATTATCAGACCCTTTTGTAAATCAAGTGTCAAATGTGTCAATCGGTTGAATCGGTTTAACTGATCGCTAGTCAGTATTGTTTGTTTCCGATTGTAAGTTAAACAATACAACGATAATCGTCTCAAATCTGGTGACAAATGTTTGTTAATAGCGGCAAACAAGTGGTTACCGGTAACTGAAATTATTGACAACTTTAGCGATAATGCTCTCAGTTGTCGACAGTTGCGGCCAATTGTGGTCAAAATATCGTCAATGATATCGTTGTTAATAACTTTTGGTTCAAATTCAATCGTCAGTTGTCTTAATTGCGACATTTCTGACAAACTGTTCAACAATTGGCGGTAAATATTTGTATCATTTATTATAGATTCATCAATAGATATCGTCAATGATGTCATCAGTTGGCCATCAGTTTTGGCAAACATGACAAACACGGGCACCGATTTGCTGTTCAATCTCAAGGACACCGATTGCAATGTTTTCATCAGCGGACGACTCGTGTCGTATATGTCCGACAATAGGATATCTATTTGTCCGAAACAAGTGATGTCCAGTGTCTTCAAGTTTACGAATCGGTGGATGTGTTTGAAAAATACTAGTCTATCCGTATGCCAGACATATCTGTCATACTTGAATGTCAACAATTGTTGTCCAAATCGACTACAAAATCGTTGAAATAGATCCACTCTATTCAGCCAATTAACATTATAACAGACTTGAAAATATAAATGTCTTAATCGGTGACAGTATATCATCAGTAACTCGAAGTAATCATCAGAAAACCAGATATCACTTATCAGTACTGATTGAATGTTTGAACAGTTTTTCAAAATTATTTTGAAAAAACTATTAGTTTTCCGGTTTTCGGCCAATGATTCAAATGATAATCTCTTCAATAGTTTGCTATCAAATACCAGTTGTGTTTCCGAAGTGAATATCACTTTCAGCCACTGTTTGGACACCGATTGTAGCCGTAGTTTGTCTTCAATCGGCAAATATTGAACCAATAGTTGACACAAATCATCGCCGAAGCGATCAAACGAGTCCTTCTTCGCTGTTGTTGTCGCTGTCATTGTTTTCTTGTGAAGTGATCTTTACATTCAGTGATCTTTTAGTAGTCTTTTAAATAAATTCAATGAAAAACTTTAAAAACTTTAAAAACAAAACAACAAAATGTAAATCAAATGTAAATTCAATGCAAAACAAAACTACTGTTTAATAATTAATACTTACATTTGATTTTTGTTGCAATCAATTGTTATAATAATAATAATAATTTTATTCAACAAACAAACAATATATACAATCAATCAATCAAAGAATAAATAAAAAAAATTAAAAACCAATTAGTATTCATTCAAACAATTCAATTAATTTTTTAGTTACTTTTTAAATACTGTACACACAAAAAACAAGTTTTTAAAACCGTATTTGAATACAAATCAATTTGTATTTATTTTTGTATTTAAATACAATTGTATAAATACAAAAAATATACAAAAAAAATTGTAACTAAATTGTATTAAAATACAAAAATAAATAAATACAAAATTTTTGTATTGAAATACAATTTTTGTTGAATACATTAATGACGTACTCAAATATCTCAATTATAAGTTGTAATATATGTTTAAATAGTATTATTTGTATTTCAATTGTATTTTGATACCAAATAAATATACAAAATTGTTGTATTATATCTTAATAACGTATAAAAATGAAAATAGTATACTATTATATGTATGACATGTGAGTTGAATCAATATTACATTAAATATCCGTTAGTTAGTAATTCAATGACTATTGAGTGACTGTTTGCCTAAAAAATAAATTATCAAATAGTATACTATTTATGTATTATTAATTAATTTGATTATTTGATTATTGATTTTATTATTAATCAATTAATCTCTTAATCAATTAATCAAATAATCAATTAATCAAATAATCATATCAAATAATCAAATTACTTAATTATACATATATAGTATAGTATTTTATAATTAATTTTTTATGCAGACAGGCATTCAATAGTCAATCATTCAATAGTCAGTCATTTGATATAAATAAATTCAAATTAAAACAAATTTTATTAATATTTATTAATAATAATTGACTTATATAACTAATGGTGGCACACAGACATAGAGTGAGATATAATGGTAAATGAATAGCATTATTTAATTTAATTTTATTTAATTTAATTTTATTTAATTTAATTTAACAAATTTTTTGCAGTGTCTGAAGTCGAAGTCAATTATTTTCTCAAAAGGTATTTTCAATTAAACTAATAAATAGTATACTATTTGATAATTATTTTAATTTGTCTAATTTATCATTTTATAGAGAAGTTTCAGAGTTTACAATGAAGTAAATCATATTAAGTAATAGTGTTTAAAATATAATATACTATTAATATTGAAAATCATATTATAATCAATTGATTTTTATTGTAAATCATATAATTATTTAGTGATTATTTTATCAAATTATTGTCATTTAAAATTTTTGTTTTATTGTAATTATTTTTGAATATTTAATGTATTTTTTATATTTTGCATTATTTTATGTATATTTATAATTATATTGTTTGTAATAAAAAACAATTTATTTGATTATATTTGTATTTGAATTCATTTTTATTTGTATTTTGTTTTGCACTTAATTACAAATGAGTTACAATAATATTGTATTGTAATACAATTTTTTTGTATTTTGGTTTTCATTTTATTACAAATGAGTTACAGTATTATTGTATTGGACTACAATTTTTTTGTATTTTGATTTGTATTATTATGCAAATAGTATGCTATTTATTTTGTATTGTAATACAATTTTTTTTGTATTTAATTTGTATCTCAGAATACAAAAAAAAATTGTAACTCATTTGTACCAAAGCATCGAAAGTTGTATTTTAATACAAGTTTTTTATTCTGTGTATAATAATAATACAAACAACACATGTATTAATATGTTTTAACTGTTGATGCAATCATTACAACCAATTGTATTGAAAAAACATAATAATATAAACATTAATAACGACTAAAATAACTTTATAAAATAAAACAAGTTTTTTAGTTGATTTATTGAACACTATCTGTAAAATCATTGCAATATCTATTAATTTAGATATATAATTTTAATTTTATAATAATATTAATTAAAAATAAATATACAAAAATATTAATATATCTTTATTACATAACATTTATATAAATAAAATATGAATATAATATTTCTCTCTCTCTTTAAAAAAAATAATTAGCGGTAATAATAATATTTAAAATTAAATATAAATACTATTATAGTTATTATTATTAGTTATAATAATTAAAACATTAATAACGACTAACGAGTATTTAATTTTAGTTAAAAAAATAATTACAGGTTTAATTATAATTATAAATTAATATATATATATATACCGGTATATAATAAATCAATAAAATAAAAATATGGTATATTATATTTTATATTATAAAATTTATACAGTATACATGTATATATGTGGCATATATATGACCCATAGTTTCACATATATTTATAACCCCTGAGGCTATTTGCGCTTACAGACAGTTAATGCCGCGAATAAATAATTGTTTTCCCATTGAATCCAAGTATTTAATAAACAAATTATTAACATTAGTATCGATCACTAAATGATTGGAAATAAATGATTTACTAGTTATCAGTCTGTTTTTACTGTCCGTAAGATATACAGTCATCAGGTGTGCCAACTGTCCCATAGCTTGGATCGACTTCTCAGTGATGGACATTTTGTCACAGTTTATATATTGTAGTCGCGGAAGATTGCGATGAATGTCCAGAAAAAACTGGTCACCGATTAAGTGCCGCTCATATAAGTGTAAAGTCAAATGTGTTAATCTGTTCAATCGCTTTAACAAATCGCTGGTCAGTATTGAATCAGTGGTCAGTGAATCAGTAATATCCAGTGATAATCGTCTCAATTGTTTAGACAAATGTTTGTTGATTGAGACAATTATGGGTTTAACTGGAATTTTGAACACTTTTAGTGATAATGATTTCAGTTGCGGACAGTTGTGGCGAATTGTGATCAACAGTTCATCAATAATATGGCTTTTAATATGATTTGTTCCGAAATCAATCGCCAGTTGTCTTAATTGCGGCATTTGTGACAAACCTGTACTAATCAATGACCAATTAATATCTTCATTATTATTATTATAATCAATATCTATATCCATGGATGTCATCAGTTGGCAACTAGTTTTAGCAAACTTGACAAACACTGGCATTGAATTGGGATAGAGTTTAAGTGACAGCGATTGCAATGTTTTAGGAAATGTATAATAACTTGTGGGATGACCACTGAATATGTCGGCAAATAGGATATCACTTCCGATAATACTCTTAATGTTAAGTGTCTTCAAGTTTGCTAAATTCTGGATGTGTCTGAAAAACAATTGTCTATTGATAGGTATGTCATTTATGTGATATTTTTCATACTTGAATGTCAGCAACTGTTGGCCAAATCGGCAACAAAATCGTTCAAATAGGTCACCACTATTTAGCCAATTATTATTATATACATTATCAAGTGATAAGTGTGTCAATCGGTTACAGTATCTAATCATTAACTCTAAGTAATTGTCCGGTAAATAGATATAACTTATAGTAACTGTTGTAATGTTTGGACACTTTTTGACAATTGTTTTGAAATAATTAGTAGTTTTCTTGTTTTCAGTCAACGATATCAAAGACAATGTTTCCAATAGTCTGTCATCAAATACCAGATGTGTTTCAGTTGTGAATATCAATGACTTCCACTGTTTGGACACCGATTCCAGTCTTAGTTTGACTTCAATCGGCAAATATTGAAGCAATAGTTGACACAAATCATCGCCGAAGCGATCAAACGAGTCCTTCGGTGTCATCATTGTTGCTGTTGTTGTGGTCATTGTCTTCTTCAGTGATCTTCACTTCACTAATATCTTCTACTAATAGACTTTAAGACTAAAAAAAAATATTTATAAAAAAAATATTTTTTTAATTTTTTTTCAAATGTATAAATCAAATGTAAAAAAACAATAACACTATTAATACTTACATTTGATTTGATTTTTTTGTTGCAATCAATTGTTATAATAATAATAACATTAATTTCAATATTCAATAAACAAAATAAAATAAATATTTTTTTTAAATCAATTAATACTAACAATTAATTTTATATTTATTTATTATTTATATAAATCAAAATCAAATACAGTTTAATAAAAATACAAATAACATAAACATTAGAGTACTGTATGTTAAATGTCTATTAATGTCAATGCAATACGTAATACATTATATAATATAATACATTGCATTACAAACACATTAATAACGTCTAAATAATGTTTCAATAAAAAAATAAAAGTATTCAATAGTTTGCTAATAAATACAGTCAATAATATATACATGTATATATGGTTTTAATTAATCTATATTTGAAATAATTAATTATAATTATAAATACTGTATATATTTTTAATATATATACAGTTTATATATATATAAAGAGTATATATTTTTAAATAAATCAATAAAAATATTAAGTTAATAAATATTTTGATTTTTTTTTAAATACTACCGGTAAATATGTTTTAATAATGAAATAATATATATATATACAGTATATTTTTAAATTATCAGGTTGGAGGGGGTACAGTACCGTATGTTAGCGCATATACGCCCACTCTACTGGGGGCTATATGTGAATTTGTGGGGGGAGGGTAGGAAACGAGAGGGGCTGGTGTTCAATATAATGTTAATTTTTAGACACTCAAAAAAAACTTCAATAGTGGTGCTATTTGTTTGAATTTATTGTATGGGCAGGGGGGTTGTAACTCACATATAGCCCTCACATAGTTTTATATATATAGCCTCCGGATGCCCAAGGCGGGGGTGGGGGGTATATGCCGGACAGTTTAAAAATAAAACAAATTAAAAATAATTACCGGTACAACTTTAATTATAATTACAAAATGAATATATATACCAGTATATTTTTCAATATTATATATATATAATAAATCAATAAAATAAAAATATATATTATATTTTAAATTATAAAATTTATACAGTATTTATATACTGTATATATATATATGGCATATTGACCCATAGTTTTACATATATAGCCCCTGAGGCTTACAGACAGCCATTGCCGCGACTAAATAATTGTTTTCCCATTGAATTTCCATTGTATTCAATAAACAAATAATTAACATTAGTATCGATCACTAAATGATCGGAAATAAATGATTCACTTGTTATCAGTTTGTTATCAGTGTCCGTAAGATATACAGTCATCAGGTGTGCCAACTGTCCCATAGCTTGGATCGACTTCTCAGTGATGGACACTGTTTTACAGTTTATATACTGTAGTCGCGGAAGATTGCGGTGAATGTCCAGAAAAAATTGGTCACCAATTAAATGCCGCTGACATATGCGTAAAGTCAAATGTGTTAATCCTTGTAATCGGTTTAATAAATCGCTGGTCAGTATTGAATCAGTGGTCTCTTTAGTAATAAAAACCATTGATAATCGTCTCAATTGTTTAGACAAATGTTTGTTGATTGAGACAATTGTGGGTTTAACTGAAATTTTTAACATTTTTAGTGTTAATGATTTCAGTTGCGGACAGTTGCGGCCAATTGTGATCAACAGTTCATCAATAATATCGCTGTTAATATGATTTGCTCCGAAATTAAGCACCAATTGTCTTAATTGCGGCATTTGTGACAAACCCGTACTAATCAATAACCAATTAATATCTTCATTATTATTATAATAATCAATATCTATATCCATGGATGTCATCAGTTGGCCACTAGTTTTGGTATATTATAAGCCATGGGGGCTGACAGTATAAATAGGTTATACTGTACTATATATTTATATATGTAATTATATGCATTTATATGTAATTAAATGTCTATATTTATAGTTTTTTTTATAATTTTTAAAAAATATATATAATTTTTTTTATTTTTAAGTTTTTCATAAAAATATGCTTAAAATAATAATAAAAATAATAATACAAAATTTTTATTTAAAATTAATAAATTTTATCATTTTATATAATAAAAGCTGTAATATATAATAGATAATTTCTAATAGGGTTGCTGTTGAACTATTGGTAAAATCAGGAGGTGGTGCCACCCAGTGTATCCAAGTGACTTACCAAGTAAGTTATCGGGACTGGGATCCCCGGTCACCCCACTACATAGCTGAAAATAAGCTTTCAGTCGTCATTTGGGGAACTCAAATGGGAGATACTGAAAGCTTATTTTCAGCTGGATAATAGGGATAGAAGTAGAAATAGTAATTTTATATATTTTTATATTTTTTAGAATGAATGCAATTCCAAATTTAGATAATTTGAAAATCGGATTAACCGATTATAACACCCCAGAGAAATGTAAAGAATTTTTTGAAATAATGGGATTAATTCCGACCAAAGCAGAAGTCACTTTAGCGAGATGTCCAGAGCCATGCAATTTTCCAATGAGAGCTGAAGACCATTCAAATTATAAAATTGGATGGAGAATTAGGTTTATTTTAAATATTTAGATATTTTTATTATTTATAATTTTTTTTATTTAATTAGATGTACTAATTCGCATTGCCGGAAGTCATTCAACCCTTTAAAGAACTCTTTTTTTGAGAAAACCCTTCTTGATTGGGATCAGATTTTTGCAATAGGCTTTTGTTTTGTTGCTGGAGGTATGCTTAGCCTTAAAACTTCAGTAGAAATCACAGGAGTAAGCATAGTTAGTGTATCTCAATGGTGGTTTTTTATGAGAGAAGTATGTTCAAAATGGATAGAAAGAAATCCTGTTAAGATAGGAGGCCCTGGAATTAAAGTTTGTTTAGATGGATCGCATTTATACCAGGCAAAGTATCTAAGAGGACGCCCAATGACTGATGTATGGGTATTTGGGGGAATTCAATGGGATGACGATAGGAATTCAGAGCCTAAATTCTTTGCAAAAAGAATAGATGGCGGTGAAAATCTAAGGGAATTATTGCCTATTGTTGAGCAACATATTGATCAGGGTTCAGTTGTTTGCACTGACATGCATGCAGTGTATCCAGCTATTTTTAGACGAGTAGGAAGTATGTCTGACCCAAACCCTGGTCCGCATGCATGGGGCGAGCATTTTGCAACCAATCATTCGATAGGAGAGTTTTCTCAGCATATTAATGCTCAATACGATGACAATGGTCAGCAACACCGCTTTCATGTTGTCCATAGCACAAATCCTCTTGAAATTCGCTGGCGATGGCTCAAAGCTAATATTCTCTCTGTTCGGGAATTTGAAGATAATCAGGGAGATTGGGTTTACTTTGTTGATGGATATATAGACCGTTATGTTTATCTCTGCAGAAGGTTAGAATTTATAATAATAAATTAGTCTAAAACTTTTTTTATAGAATGCACAGCGCTAATAATAATGGACAACGACTTCTCCGATTTTTTCAAGACATTGAAAGTATTTACCCCAAATATGGATCAGACATCTGGCGTTTGATGACTGTTGACACTGAAGTCGAAACAACTACAGGTTCTGAATAAAAATAAATAAAGTTCAAATGATGATATTATCAAATTTTTGATTATTGATATTTCTGAGAACCATTGAAAAAAATTTTTCGACTTTAAAGTCGAATATCTCGAAAATTATTAGCTATATCAAAAAAATAATTATAGCAGTAAAAACAGCGTAAAATTTCAGTTAATATAAAATTTTAAAACTTAATTTTTAAAAAAAAAATTTCGACTTTAAAGTCGAATATCTCGAAAATTATTCGACATATTAAAAAAATGATTCTATTAGTAAAATCAGCGTAAAATTTCAGATAAAATAAGTTCGTAAAATTATCAGCCCCCATGGCTTATAATATACCCTAGTTTTAGCAAACATGACAAACACTGGCATTGAATTAGGTAAGAGTTTAAGTGACAGTGATTGGACTGTTGTCGGCAATGTATAATCATCGGTAAATATGTCGGACAACTGAATATTATTTCGGTTAATACACGTAAAGTCCAGTGTCTTCAAGATTGTCAAACTTTGGATACATTTGAAAAACAATTGTCTATTGATATGTATGTCATTTATGTTATATTTTTCATACTTGAATGACAGCAACTGTTGGCCAAATCGGCAACAAAATCGGTCAAATAGGTCACCACTATTTAGCCAATTAACAGTATATAATAACCGGTTTAGTGTTAAATGTTTCAATCGGTTACAGTATATCATCATTAACTCTAAATAATTGTCCGATAAATAGATATTACTTATAGTAACTGTTGTAATGTTTGGACACTTCATAATAATTATTTTGAAATAATTATTATTAGTTTTATTGTTTTCAGCCAATGATAGCAAAGACAATGTTTCCAATAGTTTGTCATCAAATACAAGATGTGTTTCCGTATTGAATATCAATGCCAACCACTGTTTGGACACCGATTGTAGTCTTAGTTTGTCATCGATTGGCAGATATTGAAGCAATAGTTCCGCCAAATCATCGCCGAAGCGATCAAACGAGTCCTTCATTGCTGTCATTGTTGTGGTCATTGTCTTCAGTGATCTTCACTTCTAATATCTTTTAAAATAGACTTTAAAAAAACTTTTTAAAAAACTAAATATATATATCATAAAAATATTTTTATTTTTTTCAAATGTAAAATCAATGACAACTTTAACACAACTAATACTTACATTTGATTTTTTTGTTGCAATCAATTGTTATAATAATAATAATAATAATTTTTATTCAAACAAAACAAACAAACAACAAAAATAAATGAATAAAATAAATATCAATCAAAACCAATTAATATTAACAATTAATTAATCAGTTTAAGCATTAAAAGCAATGCATATCATTGTACCGAATTCTCTAACTTTAGGCGCCATGGCGCCTTATGTAACAGGTCCCAGACTCAGGTAGACCTAAAAAATCATGGTGTGTTACCCAGATAGTACGCCACCCCCTCTTAGAATCTGATATAACCCGCCATGTCGTGATATTTCAAATTTATAGTAATGAATAGTTTTATTTATCAATACAATGACT